TTACTCCTTAAAGAATTTGCACCTCAACGTAGACCTCTATGCTGACAAAATCGTCCTGCAGAAGTTTCAGCTAACTTTAAATTCACAACAGGTGCACATTTTACACCCATAAAGGGTTTTCTCTGATAAAAATCTTTCTGGAGTACATCTTTCCATATGTAAATTTTTTATTCATTATTTTCTTATGAATTTTGCTTGCTTTTGAAGCCGAATATTTTGCCAAAACTTCGACTACGCTACTCCCGTCCGGAATATAAATTTTAGATATGTACTATTGCCAAAGTTTACTTGTTGTTGCATAAAATTTGCAAACTATTGTCATTCATTTACCTGTGCAAATAATATTTTGCCAAAATGTATGGCAATAAAATAGCACCCTCGGGTTTAATGTTCAACCTGTACTCACACACACACGCACGCATACAGCAGCACACAAAGTGACAAGTTTATACATACACTTATTTTATTTCGGCATGCATCCATACAACGAGAGTAAAAGGTAAACAATACAACCAGACATTGTTGCAGACATAACAGGAAAAACCCAAAACCTCTACACGTAGCATACTTATGGGCTAAAGGCACTTATGATAGCAATGGCAAAATGTTTTCACAAGCAGCAAAACGACCTTCAAATTTGCATATGGACATATGTATGTGTGGAAAGCAATGAAAACATATGTCTGGAAAAAAAGGAAAGTGAATGCATATTTTAAGGCGCATAATGTGGTGTTTAAGAGGAAAAGTTTGAAAACTTTTTTTGAAATGTGTTAAAGTAAACTGCATACTTGTTTATTGTATTGCTTCTGAATTTACAAAAATGCAGATTTAGAGAATTCATTTCTGGGAAACTACTANATTTTTTTTTCGATTGAAGTTGGTGGTCGCAGTGCAACCGTATAAACAATTAAAGGCGATTAAATATTTATATATACGAGAGACCTTTTTGGGATCTTGGGCCAAAGAATCTGAATTTTCAATTTATTTTTAGTAAAAACGGCCGCTGGGTACGCTTTAACGTAAAAAATTTGGAAGGAAGGAACTTAAAATCGTCAACCTGGGAAAACTGAAAAATTACCTTTCTATGGACATTTCCAGACTTTGATAAAAAACACCTTATTCTTCTTTATTGGCGCTATAACCGCCTAAGCGGTTTTTAATGAGTCTAAAAGAGCACTCCAGTTGTTTCTCTTCTGTGACGCCAGTTGGAAATGCCAAGTCCTTCTTCACCTGGTCTTTCCAGCGGAGAGGAGAACTTCCTCTCTTACTAGCATGGCGACCCGCGTTGAATACTTCCAGCGCTGGTGCGGGCAGTTAAAAATGTTAAGCTCTCACCCCTTAGGATTTTTCTAAATTGAAAAAAAAAAACTGTATTTTTTTCGTTTTTAAAAAAATTATATTTAAAACTGCCTCAAGGCCCATGAAGTGTCCATGTATTTTATATGAGGAAAAACACTTTTTCGTAGAAATAGTATAAAATTCTTGAAAACCAATAGTTTTCGATCGAAAAACCCAGCGTCTCTTTAGCAGACTTCCAATATCAATACCCAATTTTTTATTTAACAATTTTTTATTATTAGCTATTTTTATAAGTCCACCAAAAATGCCATGAGGAACCCACACAAAATCGTCAGTATGAATAAAGGGTAAAATAAACTATTGGTTATTATTTCTGGAAGTCTCCTGAAGAGAATCAGAGTTTTTCGATCGAAAAATATTGATTTTCAAGAATTCTATACCATTTCTTCGAAAAAGTGTTTTTTGCACATATAAAATACATGGAAAACTTCATGAGCTTTGAGGCAGTTCTAAATATAATTTTTTTTTTACAAAAATAAAGGGGTCTTCTTTTTCTATTCAGAAAAATCCTAGGGAGTGAGAGTTTAACATTTTATTTTTTTTTTTTTGCCACCCTAATGTACATTTGTGGCCACGCAAGCCTTACCACCACTTTTTTTAAACTTTGGTAGAATTTTGTATATTAATAAAAAAAAACTTTATTTAAAATTTTAATTAAAAAGTTCGAATTTTGATCGAAATTTTATACAAAGTTTGAAACTTTTAATTATATAGTTCTTCTTACAGTTTAAACGATATTTAAAAAAAAAAGTTTTTTATTAATTAAAAAAATTTTACTAAAATTTTTTTTTAAGTTTGGCTTGTCACAAGTGCATTATGAGATATGTATTTTATATAGAAAATTCATTCTGTTTTGAATTGAAAAGTAGTAAGCCTTGTTTTTTTAATAAAATTTATTTTTATGCATTTTATATGTATTTGAATTTGTATTTCTGAAAAGTATACTGCATATCCATGTTACATCATAAAAATTCCAGTACGTTCTATTATGTAATTATTGAAACCACTACAAATAACTACATTCTAAAAGCATCAGTCTTAAGCTCTTTCCTTTAACACTTGAATATACTTACATATGTATATGTTAAAAAATATATGTACGTAATTTACATGTATCAATTTCTCTTATCTAAGTCCTTTGAATGCCAAATTATAAATCATTGCATGTACTAAAAAGTGCGGTACCCTTGCTTTCAGTTCCGACGCATACGTTTCAATAAATTCAGCAAAGTATTAAAATGATGCTTTGTGCTGAAAAAAGAATGGGAAAATATTAGTCAAGAATGTTTCATTGAAAATTAAAAAAAAAAAATAATAATAATTCATTAAATTAAACAATGTCCTAAGCTTTGAATAACATTAATCAAAAAATAATAATCCGCACATTTGCTTTGGAATATAAATTTGTATGAATTAACCACTTATAGGAATATTTTACTCACATCACACCCACACGCTTCGACTCGGGTTCCCTATTTTCGGCCAGTAAGCTGCCGCGTTGAGAGTTCAATCCATTTCTGCCTTCTACTTCGCGTTCTGGCACTGTATCTATAACATTATGCTGCTGCGCTTCTGAACGCTGTTCTGATTCCAGCTTGTTTTCTTTCAACACTCCAAGCTGTTGCAATTTCTCTGGCGACTTTGTAGAATCTCTGCTGCTCTGCACATCAGTCAAGCCCAACAGCAGCTCCTCACCTTCACCAGCATAAAGAAGATAGGATACTATTTGTTTCTTATTAAAAATTAACTTACACAGTTTGCACCGTAAATTAATTTTCTACTCACGAATTTCCTTCATCAAGTCGTCAGCCACCCCCTCATTGTTATCTGGTGGCATTTCAATGAAGACCCCATCCATTCTTACACGTAAATTCTCATCGCCTTTCTGCCGCTGATCGTAATGCACGTCGTAGTTGTTGTCAGAGCCGCCAAGTGATAGTAGATCCAAAATGTTGACATCTTCCGGACCTTTGCGATGCTCTCGAGTAGCTGCTGCATCCACCAGCAACGATCTGGGTATGCCAAATAGCGCCAGCAGCGTGAAGACAAAGAGACGATTTGTAAATTTGCACATTCTTCAACCAGTGATGGCACTTATAAGCGTTGTGTATATGTATGTAGATATGCAAATAAAAAAAAACAGTGCACTCGCTGCTAACGTAGCATTCAAGTTGTTGCTAACTGCAAGCGCTAACCTCCAGCTGGCTGGACGGCTCAGAGGCAAATGAAAATCTTTGTTAGATCTGCGCAGCCAAGAAGTTATCTTTTGTGGTTATGAACTTGACAATCCCATGCGCATACATACATACATACGTGGGTATGGCCAGACATACGTACCTGTTTAGGTATATAATGGCACTTTAAAAGTGTTGTTGATTTCCTTTTGTCGCAAATTTTTGTTAGTTTTGTGTTCTTAACATGGATTTTTTACAAGAACCTTTCCAATCTTAGAAGACAAAAATAACTGCATGAAAGGGAGATTATCAAAACTTGGGATGTCGCAACTAACAACCGTTTAGAGAAATATTCAAAATAATTTAACGAACTTCATCGACTTTTGGCTTTCGACTACTTTCTTCTCTTTGATGAATATTGATTTTAACCGATATGGGCTATGAGCCGCAGTGTTACTCTCCTTATTATTGTTAGTACAGCCAGTAAAACGCTTTCGTGGTCAGGCAGAAGAATGTTAAATTGTTGTGAGAAATATTCCCACAGCCTTCTTTAAAAGGTAGTCTTCTTTAGCCATTCGATA